TAGCCAGACTGGTATGAGCTGTCAATGGAACAGGCTTGGTACTCATCCATTTGGGATCAGGGAGGGGCTTAGAGGTACACCTAGAGTCTGTCCCAGCTACCCACACTTCATCCAGGTTCATCTGCTGGATGAGAACTGTTGGAGGTTAAAATCAATAAAGTGTAGTCCTAGTTAAATCCAGCAATCCTGTGGATGGGTGTGTGGAAGGAAGGAAACATAAATGATAATATTACGAGCCATTTTTAAAGTTGAACAGCAACAAAGATGCAAAGTGGCTTATTTCTACAATCTTTAATCTTTCAAATAATACCGCTTGTGTGTTTGTGTGTGTGTGTGTTTTCTACAGAGTTTTGTTGTTTTGCTACAGTAAAACAGAAAAAGAGTGCAAAAAAAATTGGGAGCATACATTTGGCTGCTCCCACTTAACCCAAGAGAGACTAACTTGAAGGGTTTTATAAACTTATGCTGATGTCACAAAACCACAAAACTAAATCTAATTGACTAGAAAGTGCAGTGACATTTTCACTTTTCTGACTTAATCCCTGACTGGCTGGGACTGGATTATTATGAAACAGAATGAAACAGGCCTAGAAATGCTGGTATTTCTGTAAGAAGATCCATACATGGCCCCATCAAGAATATCAGAAGGAACTAAATGTTTCAGATGGGGAGAAAAATCTAGATGTTTCAGACTAAAATTACCTCATAGTGCCCTTCTCCTACACTTTTTACAAGCTCCCTTCAGCTGCTGTACAGAAAGGCAGACCTATAATGGTCATGTAATGTTTCATTAAATCAGATCTAAATTGCAAAGGCCGCCATCAGTGGTAAATTCTTTTTAACAGCATCCTGCATTATGCATTTGTACAATTGACTTAAAACTCCAATATCATCTACACTTTGCATCCTGCACATGGCACCAATATAAATCCTGAGTATTCAACAACCACTAAATTCCCATTGAGTCTAATAGCATCACTTCCGTGTGGGTGACTGATGAATTATGGAACATTTATACTAGAAAATGAAGCCACTTGCTCTTTGGTGATCATTTTTAACTGCTGCAAGCTTATCTCACATTCTTCTGGATGCTAAAACAGATTTAGGCCATTACAAGTGGAGCCAATAGAAAGTCTTCCATTCTTCCACATAATGTATAAAGGATTGTCCCGTGTCATTGGAAAGGACAGTTTTCAGTGCTGTGCAGTAGACAGATATCACCAGAAATAACTAGTTTCCCTACAGATATTCAGGCGTTTATGATTCATTTCTGTAGAACAACAGATGATTAGGAACACTCTAGCTGTGATTCAGTGTAGTGGTGAACACCATTTTCTTTCATTTCAATTAATGATACCACATCTGGACAGGAAGAGAATGCTAGTATATGTAAGACATCTACATCAATCTTTAACAGGAAGGGACTTCACCCAAGATGCACTGTAAAAACAACTGAAACTGAAGATAATCTGCCTCATCCATGTCTAACATATTTGATCATCCCAGCCAAAAATAGTAATTCAAATAATTGAAACAATAAATGAGGAAGGTTTTCTGTTAGAAAGGTTTGCTACAAAGCAACTCCTACTTATTCCTTGGATGGCCCCACAGAAATTGAAGAGTGAAATTTGAATAATTTGAATCCTTATATAATTAACAGTCTGTTGTGGAAATAACATAGAGGCAAAATGAGTATTTATAATTAAATATGAAAGCAGTTTTCTTGATTACAGGCCTCAGTTCTAATCCTGCATCATGTAACAGCCTTTCAAATGATATAGTTCCTATTCAGTTGTAACCATATGTCAATGCAAAGAGACCCTTATTATCATATTTCAGTATCTCACAAAGAATGTAGGATGTCATTAGAATTGTTCCAAAATTCATCCCTTCCAATATAAAAATGCTTGATTTTAAGCAAATAATCTAAGTCAGGAGATTTTCCTGCTATGATAAGCATGTAATTTCTAGGAAAAATATTCAATTTTCTGTAAAGAGATACCGCTACTATTGCTATTGTTTGCACAGAAATTTCTACATTTCCATGCTCTATTACAGCTGCAAGATAGGGCACCTACTTTATTGTGCAGCAAAGCAAACCAACATTCTTTAAGGCAATTCTCAAAATGGGGGCAGCCCTAACAACAACAGCAACAGCAACAGCAACAGCAGCAACAACAACAACAACAACAACAACAACAACAGCAACAACAAAACTTCTGAAAACGGACTTCACCAAATTTGGCACAATGGTAGCAAACAGTCTGATTTTGCCCCTGTGTCAAATTTGGAGAAATTTGGTTAAAATGTTTCAAATTAAGTTATTTTACAAAGTAACTGTTTCCCCTCATCAGAAATACAGTAAGTGACCTTGAATGTCCCCAGATTTAAATAGCTCATATAAATTGAAAAGACCAACCTTGCTTATCTTGAAAAAGAATGATTGGAACCCTCTTTGTCTTTTTTTTTAATTTGGAAAGAATCCAGGCTGAAATATTGATCCTCAAAAGAGGCATTTCAAATGCTATAAAGAGTGACTTCGCTATAAACTGAGAATATGTAGTATAGAATTCTCAGATAGATGATGCAATATGCAGTTATAGCCAAATATATTGTCAGAAAATGCAACCCTTCTCTCAGAAAATTCTTGTAGTTGCAAATGTTTTGGTACTCACATGTCCATTTCTTTCCATGTTTTTGTGTTGTTTCAATGCAAACCAAAGAAATGAATATGTGAGTATCAAAACATTTGCAACTGCAACAATTTTCTGAGAGAAGGGTTGCATTTTCTGACAGAATTGAAAGGGTGCCACTATTTTTTGGCCATGACTGTATACAATGTATTGCATGGGAAAGGGAGAATGACAGGACAACAAAAGTTCACAGCTACTATGGAAGGAATTTAAAAAGTATTTAAAGAAATTAATGGAGAGACTGTCCTAAAGAAGGGGAGACATTTTTGCATGTTGTCTCCAGGAGATTAGCATACATATTCGTAAGGCATGTTCAAAGTACTTCTCCATACAAAAGCACAGAGCAGTCATATCTGTCCCAGCCCTGAGTGGTTTCAGTAAACATTTTCTCAGGATTTCTGAGATGAGGCTCCTGACACAAGTTTTCAAGGGGAAATCAGCTCTAGATCTGGGCAATGCAAACTTTTTAATTTGGATTTCAGGCCAAGGAGTCAGAGTGCTGGGTTCCAGAGTGCTAGGGAGCATATTTGGGTCATCATCTAAAATGAGACACTTCTTAGAGGGATAATGATGTTGCATATCTCTGAGTCTCTTTACAGCCCTTGATGGGCTGACAGAGGAATATTGCCAAAATCATACTGCTGGTAATATTAGGGTGATTGCTTGGTTATTTTCATCCTCTTGTCAGGCCTGGTTCAGAACAATGAAATTCTTTGTTTTGATTTTACTTTTAATATTTCTTTGCAACTTTGGGGCACTTTCTGTGTTGTTTGCACGGTTTGATATGCTGGCTCTGGGAATAGGTTTATTAAGGAACTGGGTATTTGTTCTGTCTCTCTGTCTGTCTGGCCTTTGCTTAATAATTGGTGTCAAATGCTTGTTGCAAATATTTATCATGTGGTTCAATAGACTGTGACCATTTACACTGCATCTATCAAACAGATTCTCATATTACTATTTCCAAAATGTTTTTTTTGCTTTTATAGTACTGAATTCTTTTAAATATGTTATTTTTAGATGGATTTGTTATCTCATTCTCATTAAAATCTTATTAGAAATTTGTAATTATTATTGATGATGTTCTTGCTATTTCAGTTTTATTAATGCTGCTTTTCATTGCAAAACTAGTGCTGGAATTGTCTATCTTTAGTATGTGTTTTTGTCTCGATTTCTCTTCACTGACCATTTTGTGAATCAGAGAACAGTTTTAGGGAAAGGCAATATAACTATAATCCCGGGGCCATATCCGATAGTGCATTTGTGCTAGTAAAAGAGGCAGTTAGTGCTGACTCCTCTGCACACACACCCTTCTGAAAACCCACTCTGGAGAGATGTAAAACCTCTAAAACACATTCAGTGTTCAGCTGGTGATAGGCTGAACTTAGTTCCTGACTATGTTAATAAAGCATTTTAGCCCTCCTCTACTACACCTGGAGAAGCTCCATCACTGTAGACCGTATGACTCAGAGTTTTACTACTGCTTATTTCCACCTTTGTGCATAGTTCTCCAAATCCACACAACATATTTTGTTTCCCACTGCATCTGATTCTGACTAGCATACATGAGAATGTATGTGCATAGGCACATGTGTTTTTCCTCTGTTGTTTGCACAATAGCCGGTCTATTGGTCCACTGATATTACACACCCATTCATAGAACTGCAGTGCATTTCTGCCTCACAGCCAGAAAAAGCAGAATTCAGGTATCTGTGGTATTATGCACACCTGTGAAACTACAATATACATATCGGAAACAAAATTTGGCAGTTTGTTGTTATCCATGAGGATAACCTGCTTACATATCAAGTTTCTTGACAGGGACAATTACAATAATTAATAATTGATAATTAATTATAAACAATTAACAATTAACATTTAATGATAATTAATAACAATAAATTATAATATTAATATGAAGAAGAAGAACTATCCTCTTGCAGAGCTTTACTAGTATAAGAGGAACAACATAAACGGCAGAGGCAGATTGCCTCTAATTAAATTTTGTGCTGCATTCAACTTTATCTCACAGAGCACAAGTCACATGTATTCCAAAATTTTAAAAGGAACTGTTTAATTAGCAACAATCTACTGCTGGTGATAATGTCACTCCTGCTGCATTGGTGGAGCTCTGCAAGAAGATACTAGACATCACTACTGCTGCTGCTGTTACTGCTACTATTACTACTACTACAAACAACAACAGGAACATCACAATAATGTGCAAATTGGTATAAATAGTATGAAAAAAATGAGTGACAGCCATCTGCAAGACAAAATAGAACACTGAGAATTATTTGGAATTTTTACCTTTCTCACAATTACTTCCGGTGAATCCAGAAGGACAGGCACACTTATTAGGAGCTATACATGTTCCGCCATATCTGCATCCTTCTTCACAAAAAGCTGTAAAGAGAGTACGGAGAAACACCATTTATTTCATATATGCACTTTGTATTTCTATATAATTATGAAACAATAAAGGTAAACAAATCCCATATGACAGAATGTTAGAAGTGCAATGTATTCAAAGCCATTGTGGACAACTGCTGTAGGAGGAAACTGACAATCTCCAGACCATCTGATGACAAAACATTAATGATTGTTTGGCATGCTCATTAAAGAAACAGCACAGAACATTCTGGAGCTAAGCCCTTTTAGAGTAAATGCAAAGAGCCATTTGGATCTGGGTGCAGTTAATAACCTGCAAGGGAACGTAACAAACAGAAGTAAATTTGCTGTATGAATTGTGCTAACTTGTATGCTTCATTGTGGTGATTTTAAAAGTAGGTTCCATTATAATACAGATGTTCTGAGTAGTAGTACATTAGTAGAAATGTTCAAGGGAATTACACAGTCATGGGCCATGATCCAGAGAACTGTGAAATGAACTTCACAGAGGGTTCTGATTTCCAAAAGTTACTTGCAGTGTAGCTGTCAAAGGTCTACTAAAAATCCCAACACAGGGCTGAGACTTCATTAATTTATGATCAGCTGCGGGGCTCAGGACACAGATTGGAAGAGCAGCAGATTGAACTGAGCCAGTAGAAGATACCACACCATGTCTTCACACCCACTTAACTGCTAGATGGTTGGTTAGCCACTGACACTGTCCATCAGCCAGCCCACTGTGGAGAAGCATTGCTGCCTTTGCTGGAAAAAAAAGTAGCTGAAAGAGCACCTTCAGAGATTTCTGGATCAATTGACTCATGCTAGATAATGGCTCTGAGTGAGGGATTATGCACAAGGTTGCAGTAAACATTTATTTTTCTCTTGACCATGTAGCACTCCGAACAGCTTCACAAAGTCATCCACAAAACTGGCAGCAGCATCCATGGGGGCCAGTTTGTGATGGTATTAAATGCTACTTAAAGTTGACTTAAAGTTTAATAACCCAATGTCATATTTTAAAGCTGCCACATCCAAAGTCATAGTAGTTATGATGTTGTCCAGGCTCCAAGTGGGAGTGTGAGATGGAGGAGGAGGAAGACGAAGAAGAAGAGTCATACTGGTTGAATAAGCTTGCTTACAATGTCTTGCTTTGAAACAATGCCTCTTTCTTGTGCCCTTGCTTTACAGGGCATGAAAATCTGTTCTACTGCAATTAATGCAGTCATCAAAACTATTTTCCAATGCCTAGTGGGCAGAAGAAGGCAGCTTCCCTTGCCTTTTTCGAGAGATAAAGTATCTTGTACAGTGTACAAGCTTCAAAGACTACTCAAGTAGTAGTCTGAAACAGAATATATTTGGCCTTCTATATAAAGTGTTTTTAAACACTCTCTGTATTAAATTATATACTTTAGAAAGTCTAAATCATTTTTAAGAATCAGAGTTTAACAACATCAGAGGACTATGGAGGAGAAAGAAAACACAATATGAGGAAAAGTTGAAGCAGTTAACATTTTGCTAAGTAGGTTAATTTTTTAATGCATCTGAATACATTGGAAATACATTACTTGCATAAGTGGGGCAAGACATTTAATAATAATTCAAATGTTCTCTGTTTAGCTTGGTTGACACTTTCCTGTGGCTAGATTCAACACAGCTATGGAAACGTTTGAAGAAAGAAACTGCATGTAAAGAGTAGATGATAAAGTCGATACACAAGAAAGCCTAAAAGAATTTAATTGTTCTAAGGTTACTAGAACAGCATGGAATCCAACTATAAAGATGTGGCATTGACAGTGAAAACATCTGAACATCCTGAAGGCCTTAGTCACATGTCCAGCTCCCATCCTTATTAAGGAAGTAAGGATTTGTATGCAGAACTAGGGCTCCCACCAGATGTCACTGGAAGTTTTGTCAATGACTTTGGTAATGCTATTCAGAGTGCAGCATGCTCATAAGGAATATAAATCGAGTTCTGTGCACTGCAGTTCTCAAGGCACCTAGTGGGCTTCAAAGAAACCATGATGAATATTTAAAAAGTAGCTTCTGTATCAGAGTTAACAGCACAGCTACCAAGCTTTCCTGCAAAATGCAGTCACAAATGAATTACTGGTGGGGAGGGGGGGGATGAAGGACATGAGAAGAGGTTTTTAAGGTCATGAAACTATGAGTGCTTAAGATTTACTGTGCAACATTCCAAATAATCATAATAAAGCAGATAAAATATTAGGTTTTAGGGGTGGAACTTTAACTCAAATGGAGGAAAACACACACAAAAAAAGGTTCTTAGTTCAGTTATTGTGTAATTTTATTTGTTTCCAAATAACAATTCCTGAAATATGAATGGTTCATTCAAATGAAGGAGACAGTCATGACAGCTTCAGATTCATTCATGTTTCTTTCTTTCATTCTCTCCATCATCTCTTGTATTTCAAAATGCCCAGGAGTACTGCAAAGGCTGCTGTTAACAGAGAGGCATAGTAGAGGGAATGTTTGTTATAGAAGGGCCTGGGTTAAGCAAAGAATCTTTCACTTCAGTCCTTCCTGTGTGCTGCTGAGCTCTATGGTGCCCTCCATCTTGATCTGTGCTCTCTGTCTATGTTTGTATATCCTTTTTGCCATTTTTCTTAATTTTGGGGGAAGAATTCCCATCCTTCCCTTTTCTTTTCTTGATTATTTTTGCTGCCTGGTGCAGCCGGCTGGTGGTAGATGCAAGGAAGGAAAGGGAAGAAAGACATCAAGTGATGGATGGAGGAGAATTCCTTTGATATTCCAGTCATTTTGGTGGTGGTGGGGGCTTTGCCTCTCCCTTTCTTTTCTTATTTTTTGAAGAGTGTGTGTTTTACGCTGCCTTTTTTTCCCTCTGTGTTTTGGGGGTGGGGGTGTTTCCCTGTTAGACTGATGCTTAAAAACTGTGTTATATGTTACATTATTGTGAATTGCCTACCTTGCCCTACTTTTCTGAAGTAGTTTTTAAGAGTTCTTTAGTGCTTTTGAGTTGATTCTCTGTTGCCTTCTCTGGCTCTGGCTTTTTGTAGAGGAGTTTAGAAGGGCTCTTTAGGGCTCTTGGACAAGTGCCAAAACGGGAAACCCAAAACAAAAGAATGCAAAAAGGCTGGGCCTTTCCTGTTTAAATAAAGGTCATTGACCAGAAAGACTAAAAAACAAACGAGATACTCATTTAATAATCTGAAACAAATGAACCTAGCCATTTTCCCCATGCACAGCCCTATCAGACATTAGAAGTTTCAAAGCTCTATCAGACATTACAAGTTTCAATCGTATTTTGTTACTTCTCCTAGGTGAGAAGAGCAAATACTGTTACCAAGTTCCTTTTGTGTTCTTCTATTTAATTAGTTTGTGGTGCTCAAGTGTTCTAACTTTTAAGGGCGATTATAAAAATTATACCCATAACAGGGAATTAAAATAAAAACTAATAGATGATATAGTAATTAATTTTAAAAAACCTTTTAAAAGCCCATTTGAGTCATTTCAAACAACACAAACAGAAGACCTATTAAATGATATTGCTCCTTTTGCTTCTACATATGACGAGACAACAGTAGGCCACAGTTGGCATGGCAACAGAGTTAAAGCTAAAGCAGATACACGGACTATAGCAATACAAGGAACAGTCATTTTCTTCTTATTCAACATGATCATTCTGACAGATACCCAAGTCAGACAAGACATGCCAAGCAACCATATATCTTTCACTAAAATTATGTCAGATGCCGCCATGGTTTTATAAGCCAAGAACAAAAGTGAAAAATGAGACACTTCAAAAAAACACACATGTTTTTGGTACTTGCTTGGTAATGTGCCTACTGCCTGAAATCCTCTTGGTCTTTATGTAACAATATATGTTTGGCAGGTATTACACTCAGACAACAATAATGGCACAACTCAGTTGAATAGTTCCCAGTGAGAATATAGTGTGGCATGGATGTAGAAATGCTTCATGAAGAGCTTTTGTGCCATGCCACAATTTTTAGTCTTCTGCTACAGCTTTGCACAGGATTCCAACCACTATTTCAAAACACTATTCAAATATATGGCTAGTTAGACTGTATATATATCCCAGCTGTGCCCCTTCAGACATATTTTGGACTATAACTCCTATGCACCCTTGCCACCATATGCGGCAGTGAGAATTCAAGGAAGTTCTAATCTGGACAGCCAACATCTGGACAGCCACCAGTTACCCATTCCTGCTATGAGGGAACTGCAGTAATTCACACAGCTCTTTAAGTGGGAATCTATCTTGGTATTTCTTATTGACAACTCACCAAACTAAGGGAGATCTTTCACTGAAATGACTGATGTGTCATAGTTTCACCAGATATTTTCCAATAGGAATGAATCAGAGATCCACAAAAACAGTGTGGGCAAGGAAGAATCAGATAATGAAAAGCCTAGATTTATCCAAGAGCCCAATCCTCCATTTGACTCAATTTCTGTGCTCCACCCTGGACCCTCAGAGAGCTGAATGTGTAGACAAAGGCAGCACCGGGGCTGATTAGGAGGCGAATAAATCCCAGATCACACAAACAATACAGGTTGAAGACAGGAGCAGAGACTCCCACACTGAGTGCTTGGTGGCAGAGAAAGACTCCTTGGAAGAAAAGATTTCTGCAAGAATAGGCAGCTCTGTTGGGGGAAACCTCTTCCTGCCAGGTAGATTAGTGAGCCAGATTTTCCAGCTGAACTCCCCATCAATTGCCCACATATCTGCAGCTGAGCCCTACATGGGATCTCAGCAGCCCAGCCATAGAAACCTCAGGTTTTTGCTGGAAACAGCATGTCTTCTTCCAGCACTTGCCTGCTATGTAGCTGGCCTTTATTGCTGATTCCTTGACTATGTATAGCACTTTGGACTACCTTAATTATTTTTCTTGGTCCCTCCTGTTTGTTGCAACTAAGACTAATCCGGCTTGACTGTTTTTGGACTACTCTTGGACAGTTGCTTTGGATCTTCTCCATATGGCTTACCTGACTCTCTGGGAGAGCAATGTTAT